AGGGGGAGAGAGGGGGTAGAGAAAAGAAAATACTGGCTGGTTAATATGAACAACGATCGATAAGGATTTCTCATGAAATATTTATCATGATTTATTTTAAGGTTTACATTCATTCCATTGCGAATCAAAGATTAATAGAAGACGATTGTTTATTCGTAACAAACAGAGAAACGTGAACTAAGAAAACTTTATTCGTAATGTTTACTAATATACTTTATCATTAGTTATTACGAAAGGTAAATACGGCGTAAAAAGATATATTTAAACATTTATTCAAAGATTGAATAAATGTGTTTGGATTGAGACAAGGAGAGAGAGAAAAAAAAAAGAATTTTGAAATGATAAAAAAAAAATATATATATATATATAGCAAATATAAATGTATCGTATATTATATGAATTCCTAATAAGCAATTAAAAAAAAACAGAAAAAAAAGAACAAAAAAATTTATACAATTTTTTTTGATCCTTTGCTACAGTGATTATTTTGTTTTTTGTTTTTTGTTTTTTCTATATCTTCGCATCTTCGGACACACTTCACACGACTCTAAATCACTTCTTCTAATCCCTTTTCAATAACTTCGATAGATTGGAGAATTTATAAAAAAAGGAAAAGAAAAAAATAATCCAGATATTCGTGTGACACGCTGTAAATATCCAATAATCCATTTTACCTCGAACTTAATGTCAGAAAAATCATGGTTTTGATCACGCTCGATTTGATCGTAAAACGAAATAAAATCCTAAAGTCAACGTCTGGTAGATAAGAAAGAAAGGGAAACGGAGAAACGCGAGAATCAGAAAAGATTCATTGAACGGAAATGAAAGGAAGAAGTTGAGATGGACAGATAAAAAAAAGAGAGAGAGAGAGAGAGAGAGAGAGAGAGAGAGAGAGAGAGAGAGAGAGAGAGAGAGAGAGAGAGAGAGCGTGAACGTTTTCTCTCTCTCCCTTTTTTTCCTTCTTTCTTTGGCATGTCACTGTATATGGTATATGACAGTCGAGACTAGTGCAAGCTTGATCAAGGAAATATCGCCTTTCACGTGACCATTTCAAGGATCCTTTTTCGATTATTATTTGACCTGGCGCTTTGAAAAATACAATTAAATTGTATGTGTAACCTATATTAAATAAAACAGTGAACTTTGTATTGTACGTTTCAAAGTTCCGCGCAAATAACGCTAATATAATAATAATAATAATAATAATAATAATAATAATAATAATAATAATAATAATAAAGAAATTATGATAAATTATTTATTAAATTTCGATTGTTTAATATCTCATTGTTATTTGAATCGAATCGAATCGAACCCATTCGAAGTCGTAGACGCATTTTACTTAGGTCAAGCTTGGAATAGTACACGGAACAGTTGATGACAATAGACGTGGTGAACTCAAAAAAAAAAAAAAAAAAAAAAAAGGTATCTAACACAAGTAACTCTTCCGTTTCAATAGAAACAAGTTCACGTTCTTATTTATTTTCTTCGAAATTATAACTAAATGTTTGATTCGTTTTCTATTAGATATATCGATTATAAAAATGACCCAAAGAAAGCAATTCTATATATATCTGTATAACATATATATATATATATATATATATATATATATATATATATATATATATATATATAACTTTCTTATATTTTTATGTAAATTGAAATATCTATGACTTTTTTTTTGCGAACGGTACTGTAATGATGCAAAGGTACATCAATTTTATTTATTTATTTAAATAATTATACACTGGCAGAGAGAAAAAAAAGGATTGAAATATTATCGAAGACAACACAATGTATAAATAAAATTAAAAAAAAAAAACGAAAAAAAATTTGTGTAAAAATCTCATATTACTTTTTTTATATAACAAAAAATAATAATAATAATAACAATAAAAAAATATATACATACGTATAAATATATTTAATTATTTACTAAACTTTTATTATTAAGAAATATTCTTAGGCCACTTTTATAGCTGTTGAAGGCATATAAATAAATAAATAAATAAATAAATAAATAAATAAATAAATAAATAAATAAATAAATAAATAAATAAATAAATAAATAAATAAATAAATAAATAAATAAATAAATAAATAAATAAATAAATAAATAAATAAATAAAAGTTCTTTAAGCTCTTACCTTTTCCTTATCCTTCTCAGTAGCCTCATCCTTATCTTTGTCCTTATCTTCGGTAACGTCGGTACGATAAGCAATGCCATTGGTCGTCGGTTTAGCATCACTTTCTTCGATCCTTTCGAGTTTTCCATCACCTGGTGTTGCGGCATCACCTACAACGGCACCTTCGCTTGGTATACCTTCCTTCTTTGGCGTCGTCGTTATATCGACGGACCTTTTGCTTTGTCTCGCTCCCATCTTTCCTTTTTTATCTCTCTCTCTCTTTGCTTTGCTACTTGATTTTATTTCTCTCTCTCTCTCTTTCTCTTTGTTTCTCTTACTAAAATGCGCACAAGCGCTTACCGAGCTTTGATCTGTAACAAAAAAGAAACAAGAAAAATCAATACAAATTTGGCTTTTCAAATTCAATACAAAATTAGTACATAATTTTTCAAAAATAAAAATAATGTTTCTATATCTACGCGATGGGAGAAAGTTCATTTAAAAAAAAAAGAAAGAAAAGAAAAAAGAAAAAAAAAAAGAAAAAAAAAGAAAAAAAATTAATTAATAAATAACGTGTATAAAATTAATAATAATGATAATAATAATACTAATAATAATAATAATAAAGTATTGAAATCGTATAATAAAATAAATATAAATCGTATATAATAGAAAATGAATAATATAATAAAATCGATATATACATATAATGATATAATACGATCGTAAATAATAATAATAATAATAATAATAATAATAATAATAATAATAATAATAATAATAATAATAATAATAATAATAATAATAATAATAAGTAAATAAATAAATAAAAGACTGCAATAAAAATAATTTCGAAGAATTGCGAAACAATAGAATATGGATTAAAAAATACTAAGTAGTAAATTCTGTTCGAGTTTACTATAATATATTACATGACAAGTAAAAGCATTGAACTCGATTAGCTTATATCTCAAAGGAAGAACGTTCACCCCTGTGACACAGTTTATTGCTCGTTGAAACGTATGGAACGTTCGAGATAAGGGTTAATCGATGAAGGGATTAAAATAGAAATACATAATCCACTTTTTATACAGACATTATCATGCAATATACACATACATATATACATATCATATACATATATTTCAATGATCTGATTATTAATTTTATAGTAAACAAATTTTTTTCTATATAACAAAAAAGATAAAAAAAAAAAGTACACAAATATTTGGAGCATATATATATATATATATATATATATATATATATATATAAAAGTAAAAATGAAATATTATATAAAAGATTAATAGTAACATATTCCTTTGTATTATATCGAAGGCATAGCTTTCGCGAACATACCACCATCATCAGACCATCACCATCAGACCATCACCATTACCATTACCATTACCATCACCATCACTACCACCACCAGCTGAAATCCGATAGTACCATCTGTCGTATTACATACTCTACGCACCGGTTCTCGAAAGTTTCTCTTCACGAGAGAGAGAGAGAGAGAGAAAAAGAAAAGGAGAGAGGGGAGAGAGAGAGAGAGAGGGAGAGAAAGAGAGAGACTTTCGATCCTCCTCCGGATTTAGCTGCAGGTGCGCCAGAAGAAGTTACAACCGCTCGTAAACGTTCCCCACGTGCAAATCCTTTTCGTCGAGTGAATTTCAAAGAGAACGCATAGCTTTCTTACGGTTTATCTCTCTCTCTCTCTCTCTCTCTCTCTCCCCTCCTTCTCTCTCTTTCATTTGCATTCACAATCGATTTTTCGAGCGACATTCTCTCTCTCTTTCTCTCTCTCTCTCTCATTTGCATTCACAGTCGTTTTTCTCTTTTTTTTTTTTTTTGGAACGACACTTCTCTCTTTCTCTTTTCATATTTTTACATAATATCTCGATAAGAATTTTGCATTAATCAAGATCGTAAAGTCGAGGTAAGACAGCAGGTGAGATCACGTAATCTACTCTCATTGAAATCACGCTTCGAAAAGAATTATGCGAATCGATTATTTTATCGGATAATTTCGGATACACCGATTTTTCGCATGATTTATCTTGCGCAGATGTTACGAATTATAAATACACGGCACAGGTACAAGCGTATCGAATTGTATATATATATATATATATATATATATATATATACACTCATGATATAATCATATTTAAAAAGAAAAAAAAAAAAAAAAAAAACAAAACTCTTGTAGATAAAAAATCTACAAAATAAATTAGCTTAAAATGTCTGGGATAAGTCTAATTAATTAATTTTTAAAAATCACTTGGTAATTTTTGATTCACCGATATATATATATATATTTATAACATGCTACAGTAGAACTCTTCGCGAACTTCTTGAATTTAGAAATAAATAGAGATAATATAATAACATTATATATGTACAACGTTGTAATACAACATATATATAAATATTATTATTATTATTATTATATATTCTTTTCAATACAGACAAAATATTTAGGCGAATCTAATAACTTATATCAATTAAGAAAATCTTATAACGAAAATATTATAAGTCTTATATGAGAATGAAAATAACAATAGGAAAGATAAAATATGAAAATAGGATTTCTACATTCAACAAACCGCATTGTTAATTAACCGACATATGTGTACATTTTACGTAGGATCGCAATGTGATTCCGTTAAAATGACGTATGGGTTAGTTAACGGTATAGATATATTTTCTTAGAAAATTGCTTCAGAATATTTACTTATTTCTCTCTCATACATGAAGAAGAAGAAGAAGAAGATTCATTGTTCGAGAAAGATAAACGGTAAAAAATTGACGTTTCGTTTTTGGCGCGTTTTTTAAACCACGCGTCTCTCTCTCTCTCTCTCACGTACGTTTAACTAGTCGACAATGTTAGAACTACTCCATGACTAATGTGTTCCTAGACCGACATTCTCTTTTCAAAGAGAAACATACAAAGAGAACACACATTCTCTCATTGTAATAGAGTGAGTGAAATATCGATTCGAACTACTGTTACACAGAGTGACTTTTGTGAAGTGAACGATTATTCTTGATTTTCTATTCTTTCTTTCCCTCCCCCACTTGTCCATCACCCCATTTCCCCTCTTTTGTAACTCATGAAATAGTTTATGAGATAATTCATATAACGAAACGAGCGTATGAGTATATTTATATTTGAGATTGAATTTGAAAGTCAATATATACATTTTTTTCCTTTTTCTTTTCTCTTTTTTCTTTTTTTTCTTTTTTTAACTAATTAATTCACAACAATTTTTTCAATTTGAACATATGATATCGAAGCATGTAACTGCATATTTTTACAATTAAACGTTCAAATGTTTACGATTAAATATATATTATTGAAGTAAAATTAAAAAAAGAAAAAGAAAAAAAAAAGACTTTTACGAGTATGAATTATTAAGAAAATGTAACGAAAAAATAAACTATCAATCATGATGAGTTTTTCGGGATAAAAATTCTTACATCTTTTTTTTTTTTTTTTTTTTTTTTTTTTTTTTTTTTTTTTTTTTTAACGTGCTGAGAACTTAATCGTATTTCCGAGAGGAAGATATTAGTCACTACGTACATATACATATACATATACATATATACATGTGTATATAATGTTGGCTGTCGACACGTGTGTTCTCTCGATCACGTTTTTATTCGACACGTCATTAACATAGCATACATGTATGTAAATACACGCAATCCTACAATAATCCTACAATAAATGCTTCATTGATAAATCCAAGACGATTCAATGAAAGAATTTATCTCTGTAAACAATGTAATTTCTTATGTCATCTATTTTTAATAAAATGTATCGTACTTATTTCTCAGTTTGACGAAATCTTTTTTTTTTTATAATAATCAAAATAATAATAATTAATAACAACAACAACAACAACAACAACAACAACAATAATCAGCATAGACTTTTTTTCTATGTAACGATTGTTAGCAAAATATTCAATTCTATAAAATTCAAATTTGTTTTCGTATTAGAGGAAAAAAAAAAACTTTATACTACATACAATTATACAACATGTATATATAAATAAATTCAATCTTTTTTTTTTTAATTATATGAAACGTTAATTAATTTTATAAAAAAAAAAAGAAAAAAAAAAAAAAAGAGAAAAAAAAAGAAAAAAAAATACAGATACACATATACTACAATTCACGTTGAAATATAGACGATTCAAATTATTTTTACATATTAATTGGAATAAATTTTCTACGATGTACGATAGATAGAATAACATTGGATCTATGATAGAAACAGAATGAAATATTATAGAGATCTTTGAAATATTATATATTAATCCCTCTATAAAGACTTGGAACTACAACTTTATGGTGTACACACACACACACACACACATTACCGAATATAACGGAGTTATACACGGTAATTGTCAGCGACGTTTCCTCGTTAGTATCAGCCGGTACTTGCATTATCGTTATGCATATGCATACACACGCGTACAAACTAACACAGGGATGTATTACTGGTTCTCACGACATAAGAAAGAAGAAGAAAAAGAAGAAGAACTCTCTTTGCGTGACTCTGACACCAGTCTCAACACTGTTATAAAGCTTTTAATAAACGTTCGACGACGACGATGACGACGATGACGACGATGACGACGACGTCGACGTCGACGTCGACGAAAAGAACGTTCCGGTGAACTCTGAATGTACTTATTAATCCATTCAGAGGATCTAACAAAAAGAAATCTTTCCTCTGGTCTCTTTTAGCTTCGTTCATAGAGACACAGTCAACAGTTCTTTGTCAATGACGGAGTATAAAATGTTTAGGTAAGTGATTAGTCAGCTGGGAAGTAGAATTATTATCGTTTCTATTTGCCGCTTATATGAATGGAATTATTTTCTTTATTATCTAGTTTCTTTCTTTTCTCTCTCTCTTTTCTTCTCTTTTCTCTCTCTCTCTCTCTCTCTCTCTCTCTCTCTTTTTTACGTTAGCTCTAATAAGAACATTAGATCAACTTTGATTGTGTCGTTGATAAATATAAATAAGTATCTTTCTTTTTTCTTTTTATTCCTTTTTATTATCTCTTCTTTTTTTCTTCTCTTTTCTCTTTCTCTCTCACTCGCTCTTTTTTGTCTTCTTTTTTTTTAATTATTTCCGCAATAATTAAAAATCTTGATTATAATTCCAATTTGACGTACCGTTCTATTAATGATTATGAACTCAATGGAGTATTATAATTTCGATCTCATCGATAATTAAAAATATTTATTGTAACATACTTTTTTTTAATTGTTATTATTATTTTTTTGTAATAATTAAAACAATTATTAATCAATTTTTCACTTCTGTATTACATCAATCAAAAAAGTA